AGTGCCCAGCAGCTGTTTTGTGAGACAGTATTTCACCTATATACTGATCCACATAAAAAAATTGCTTACAGTCACTGAAGCCAGCCATTAAAAATTCAAAAACCATCTCAAAAGGTAAGCATCATCCTCCGACTTTACTTATCTATGCTTTCTAAAGTGCCCAGCAGCTGTTTTGTGAGACAGTATTTCACCTATATACTGATCCACATAAAAAAAAATTGCTTACAGTCACTGAAGCCAGCCATTAAAAATTCAAAAACCATCTCAAAAGGTAAGCATCGTCCTCCGACTTTACTTATCTATGCTTTCTGGGTCAGAAGCATGCTTTTCATGGAGCTCTGATACAAGGGAGAAAGATTAGTGAGGCCCAAATGGTTTCTAGAACAAATGCTGTGATCTTATCTTTAGTTAGTACATATACTATAATACTTTTGATTACAAGAAATGAAATTCATCTTCTTTATGACAGATTTACTTTCAACAAATCTATAAAGATGTCAATTCATATGCCATGGAGTATTAAAGTACTACTATCAGGGTTCAATCCCTGAGCAAGAGGGCAAGAGTTAGGAAAAGGCTTTACCATTGGAGTCATATGTCTTTTAGTATAAAAATTCCTTAGAAAGCATATATCACACAATTCCCTTCAATCTAGGAACAGAGAAAGATGGTTGAGAACCATATGCCCTTTTTTATCATCCATGAAAGCATGAAATCAGGTTTGTACATAGAACAAAGCCTTTCCTTATTATGGGTGAAGATGTTAAATAAAGGTCCCTACCTTTGGGTTCTTCCCTGTTCTCAATAATCTGAGAGTTCAACATAATCTACTGATACTACAATTTATACTGTAATTCAAAATTCAAAACAGTCATTTGTTTGAAGGCATTGGATGGCTAGAATGGAAGACTATGGGGTAAAGATATGGAGAAGGAGAAAGGCTAGGATGCTGCCAATTCTAAAAGCAAAAGTAACAGTAGAGTAGAAAATAGGCTGAGCAGAGTTTTGAAGAGACAAAGAACTGAGGAAACACAAAATGGGATTCAGGGAATGCCAAGGAAGAGAGACCTTAGTAAACCACTCAAGCTTTTCATTGGGACTTCCAAGGACTAAACCTTAGGAGTAAGGGTAAATCAAAAGTACACTGGCCCTTATAGAGACAAAAACCCAGCTGCAAGTCATTTCAGTCGCTGATTGGATGAAGGACATCTGGGATTGCTAGTATCCCCAGAGCTGTAGACCACAAGCAAAGGTAAATCCTCTGTAGTTCAAGATCACATCACTCAGGTATCAAATAATCTCTACAATTGTTCATATGCAACATGTAGTATTCAGTCAAAAATAACCAGGAAGAAGGCAAGATGAGGCCAAACACCAAAAGAAACAATAGACAATAGAAACAGATCTACTGGAGATGCAGACATTGGCACTATACAACAAAGATTTTTAAATGTTAGCATGTTCACAAGAGAATGTTGGCAAACAACTAGAAACTATAAAAAACAAAGTGGAAAGACAAAAACTGGAAAAGAGAAATGAAATTAAAATTTCAAAACATAGTTTATCTTTTGAAAATTAGATCCAACTAAAGAAAAAAATTAGTGAATACAATGAAAGAAAAAATCTAGACTACAGCACACAGACAAAAGAATAAGCAATTCAGATTAGAGAATAAAAGACAAATGGGATAAAATGAAAAGGTGTCACATGTACTAATAATCCTAAAGTGAAAGAAAAGGGAAAGCAGGACAGAATACTGAGAAACAAATGGCTGAGAATTTTCTGAAACAGAAAAAAGACATCAAGCCACAGATTCAAGAAGCATTATACAACCAAAGTAGAATAAATGTAAAAGCAAGCAAACAAACAATAAAACACCAAAGCATGGTGTAGTAAAATTGTATAAAACTAAAAAAAACACAAAAAGATCTTTAAAAACAGCCAGGGAAAAGGTATATAAACAACATACCAATAATAAAACTGACAGCTCTCTTTGCAACCAAAACAATGGAAACAAGAAGATAAAAAAAGAATTACATTTTAAAGGGCTAAAAGAAAGTTACTTCCAAGCTTAAAATTATACACTCACAGAAATACCCTTCATAACTGAAGGTGAAAATAAAAAAGTACTTTCAAACAAAACCTGAATGTATTATTGACAGATCTGCAAAAAGGAAATACTAAAAGTTCTTCATGCAGAAGGAAAATTATCCTAGATGGAAGATCAGTTGGAGGAAGTAATGAAAATAAATAATGTGGTAAATATATAGATAAATCTAAATGAACTGCCTTTTTAAAAAAAAACATTATCTTTGGTTTAAAATACATGTAGGATTAAAGTACATGACAACAATAGTACTGAAGACAGAAGAGACAAAAGTAAGGTCTTGGTCTTCCTTATCTGGGGAATGGTAAAGTACTACTTTTTAAGTCAATAATCAGAGATACATAACATCTCAGATAATTACTTTAAAAAGATATACGTAACTAAGAAGCTAATAGAGGGAGAGTGAAAATGGCATAATAAAAAATACTGAATTGCTTCTGGTTCAGCTAGCCTATTGAAGGATTAGAGATCATGTGAAATGGATGCAAATAACCCCACCTATGGCCCACTAGAGGAATCAGCCTGTAAACAGCCAATTATGTTAGGCCATGCTAAGGCACCATCCAGTCCCAGCTAATCCACAAGGTAACTGAAGAACTTCCCAGACAAACCAGACTGCTTAGGCATAGTAAAAGAGTTATTTCCTTAAACCATTAAGCTTTAGGGTGGTTTATAATGCAGAAATAGATAACTGATTCCACAGTAAGAAGCTAGAAGAAGCAAAACAAATTAAACCCAACGACAGTAGTAATAATAACAAAGATAGTAATATAAATCAATAACATGCAAAGTAAACTATGATAGAGAAAATCAACAGAGCCAAAAGTTGACTCCTAGAAAAGATTAATAAAATTATACACACATTGCAAGACCTATACGAAAAAAAAAAAAAGAAATGTAATTGCTAAATATATAAAAAAAGGACA